TTTTCCAATAAAGGCCACTTTCATCTGCGTTGTAAACTTGTTCCATTCTTAAATCTAGCTCGGTAATTGTTTTCATCAATTTTTCTTTGAATGGTTGCACTAATTGTGGTTGTGCTGATAATCTTTCACCAGATATAGATAGCAGTCGAATTCCATATCTTGTTTTGAATCGTTGTAGTCAGCCCTCACTAGCTACGAAATTTTCAGTTTCTTTCAGTTTTTTATTTAACAGTCTCGCTCTCTGTTTATGTACTTCGCCACTAACTGGGACATAATTTTCCCGTTATTTTAAAAACCAAAATTTTCCATTTTAGGTGCCTAAAGTTTTTCTTTTTTCCGGACCGTTCTTTGTAAAATTTTAGATTTCATTACAGATTGTTGCTTTCGATACTCCACATTTCTTTGCTAACTGTGTCACTCATGCACCTAGTGCAACTTCGTCTATGATTTTCACTTTCTCAATCAACTTCAAACACTTTCTTTTATAGGATGTGGATGCCTTAGTCGTAAAATATATTAACGCGTGCAATGTATTCACTTAAGTTCAAAAATGAAATACATACGTACGTATAAACGTATCCTAAACGATCATACGACTGACCGAGTTTGTCGTATTTTATCGCAGAGGTGAATCCCCTACACTCTACATCATAAATCGGGGACTCCCCGACGCCCGACATAAATCATCGAGGCTTCAGCATTTTACCGTCGCGCTGTTTCCGTGCGCCGAGAGTTGTTTACGTTATCGAGCGTACACATTGTTTACGTTATCGCGCGTTCCGTTTGATCCTATAGAACGAAGTTTGTGTTTACATTAGCGCAAGTTTTTCATTATCCCGTGTTTACGTTATCGAGCGTCTGCTGTATTTGAATTCACTTAGACCTAAAACTAATAGAACATCTGAACAAATAAACAACGTGCGAATAAATGCGCGAAGTTAACAAAGCAACAATTGAAAGATTACCATTGGGTAACATCACCTTTATTTTTTATTACGCCTGAAATTCTTTGGGGCATAGTGTTAACCATGTTTTAGCAAAAATTTGGTGTAAAACAATCCCATATTTCTTGAAGCTTTTGTCTCAGTTCGGTGATTGTACGAGCAGGATGTTGTCGTAGAACCTTTTTCATCTCGTGCCACAAAGTTTCAATAGGTGACAGATCTGGACTGCTAGAAACCCATTTCAAAAGTTGTACATTATTTTCTTCCATCCATTTTATATCCTTTTTTCAGGTATGTCACGCTGCACCAGCTTGCTGAAACACAAAATCTTGGCCGGATGTCAAACATTCTTCTATCACTGGTAAAAGCGATTCTTCTAAAATTGTCAAATATTTGTTTGTATCCATATTTCCATCAATAAAATGAAGTTTTCCTACTCCTTTTGATGACATACTGCCCCAGACCATAATGGATGCTGGAAATTTCACTTTTCTCTTCAGACAGTCAACATCGAATGCTTCATTTTTTTTTTGCGAATAATACTACTGCGACTGTCACCAACACAAACTTCGAATCGGGCCTCATCACCCCATTGCATTGCACACCATTGTTGAGGTGTCCATTGTCTATGTCCTTTAGCCCATCTAAGCCAATTTTTCTTTTGCAGTGGAGTTAATAGTGACTTTTCTTTGGCCTATAAACAAGTTGTGCAACTGTAGGGTTTTTACTTCACTTTTTTTATAAGAAAACTTACATTGCAAGTGATAAATTCCAGTTTGTGGGTCTCTCTATGAGTTGTGGACTCGAAATTCTCCTTCCAACAGCGTCACTCCACAGAGCACTTAATTGTAAATAATTGGCACGCCTGTTTTTCACGATTATTCTTCTTAATGCTCTTCGGTCGGCATTTGTGATATTACTTTTTTTCACATATCGTGGCTTAATATTAACTGAACCATTTACGTTATATCTTCTAACAATATTTCTCACACTGTACCGCGATAAGTCTAACAAAGTTGCAATTTATGAGTTTGATTTCCCAGAATTAAAAACTTTAATTATCAGTAACCGAATTTTCTCACTAGTAACCTTTCCTCTACCCATTTTGAAAACCTTAACTACCCAAAACTGTTTTAAACGTATTCTGGCAGCTGTGATTGATAAAACAATTGTCATGGCTTTTATTTTTCACAGCCACCTATGCGTTATAGACTTATTTTGCATTGAAATGAAAATAGGTTGATATGCTGTAATTGCAACATGTGTTATTTTTATACTGCAAATTTGATTAGGGAGTGATAAAGTTGGTGTGTTCTACTATATATTATCAAAATATTCATTGTTAATATTTAAACCTATAACACCCTGCTACATTTTTATTATTTGTGTTTGATAAGACAAAAACTAACATTTCAATAGTCGGGCCAACTGAAGTGGGAAGGGGCTTGTATAACGCCGCCCTGTCCTAATAACAGACAGACTCAAAAATAGGATTACTTAAATTGATGGAAAATCTCGAATGTATCCAGGTCACACCTCAGAATGTGCCTAAAAAGATTGTGGTTGGACAAAGTTTCAAGAATAACGCTTTATAAGCTCTTGTGTTTTTTTTTTAAATAAGATCGTTTCCTACAATTCTAAAAAGCTCTCGATTATTTTCCAAGCGACACCTGTTGAGATAAAGTCAGTATTACACAGGGATGCTGGCGACTCACTTTTATTTATTTATTTTATTTATCAAATTTACGGGTGACCCCAATTTTACAAAATAAAATCACGAAATGGGAACAACATTTTCAACATGCAAGCTCACAAGACAATTATAAAAATCACAATTTAAAAGATAATTTTTAAAGCCTGAGAGTGTACAGGTAAAAATGTCATCATTCACGAACAAAATGAAGAGAAGAGGAGCACAATGGGACCCTTGAGGAACCCCTGATGTAACCTTGAATTTCGATGATAGATATCCACTAATGTTTACAGATTGAGTCCTACCTTTAAGGAAGCTCTCCAACCATCTTATAGTGCTTTCTAGAAAACCATAAGCTGACAGCTTTGCCAATAGAATGTCGAAGTTCATTCTCTCGAAGGCTTTGGAAAAGTGTGTGTAGATTGCACCCACCTGGTGACCCTTTTCCAAGGCCTCCAATAGATCAACTTTATAAGACACCAAATTCTCCACAGTCGATCTACCCTTAGTAAACCCAAATTGACAGCTACTTACAAGCCCACGGCAATACCAGTTAAGTTGATCATATACTAAGTGACATATAAATCCGAACACCCAGTTTAAATGGTTTTATTTTAATAAAAGTTGGTGAATGTATTCATCTTACTGTAAATAACAAGTGAAAAAATTTTCAGCATTATCAGTTGGACATTCCGGTTTTTATACTGCTTTTTTTTAATTCACTAACGCTCTAAAAATGAATATTTCAGCCGCAGTAAAGAATCAACGTTGGCGGATTTTGGTTCTTGACATCCTTTACGATCGGTTACGATGCCTAGAGTACGGAGACCTGTACGATTTCGTCAACTTAGTGAGTTTGATAGGGGCCGTATAGTGGGACTTCGGGAAGCTGGACTTTCTTTTCGGGCAATTGCAGTTAGAGTGTAAAGAAGTGTAGATACTGTGATTAGGTGTTGTCAGGCATGGCTTCGAGAAGGCCGTACGTAAAGAGCAAGGGGCACTGGACACCGCCGTAGAAAAACAGACCGTGAAGATCGCCGCCTAAGATTATTGGCCTTAAGGGGCCGTTTCTCCACTACCATGTCCATTGCAAATGAATGGTTTGCAGAACACGGAAGACCTATTGGCATGCGAAGTATTTACCGACGAATGAAGTTTTGGCTTGTTTTCATACCGGCCACACTGGGTCCTCCCTTTAACTCGAGAACACCGACGTAATCGCCTTGAGTGGTGCAGACAACGGTCACTCTGGGATCAGGAATGGAACAGTATTGTCTTTAGTGACGAGTCTCGATTTTGTTTAGGCATGCACGATGGTCGTGCCAGGGTTAGAAGGCGACGTGGTGAAAGGAGGAATCCACAGTTTGTTGTTGAAAGACGTGTTCATCACACTGTTGGAGTTATGGTTTGGGTGCTATAGCTTATGGTTCCAGGTCACCTGTAATCTTCATCAGAGGTAATATGAACGCGCAGCGTTATATCCACGAAGTTCTAGAACCCCATCTTTTACCCTATCTTGACACCCTGGCAGGTCCAACTTTCCAACAAGATAATGCCCGACCACATCTTGCAAGAATCAGAATAGACTTCTTTCAACATAATGATGTCACGTTGTTACCCTGGCCACCAAGATCTCCCGACTTATCCCCAATTGAGCACGTGTGGGATATGATGGGTAGGAGATTGCTCAATTTGCAACGTTCTCCTCAGACTCTAGAAGCACTTCGAGAGGAGTTGGTGGTTGTCTGGAATGAGATACCACAGGAGGACATTGACCACGTGATCAGATGCATGCCTAGGCGCGTTGGAGAATGCGTAGCACGTCAGGGTGCATCCACACATTATTAAAGGTCAAAAGGCTTTAAAGCAGTGCAATCATTTTGAAATATTTATCATTTACTTGTTATGCTTCATTAAGTACTTATACAAAATTTTATTAAAATAAAACCATTTAAACTGGGTGTTCGGATTTATATGTCACTTAGTACAGATACACGTACGTCTCCCGTATTAACGAGAATTTTTTATATTTTTTATGTTTCTTTTATTTATTTGATCTTAAAATATGCTTCCGCATGAATAATTATTTTTACTTACGTCAAGAAAACAGTAACCTTATTTGACTTATTATCGTTTTTTTCACACATTCTTCTTTATATTATCCGTTGAAACTTGGCATTATGATGTTTAATTTCTCAGATATAACTATCTTTTTTATGTATGAATTTACTATTTCTCACTACTTTGTTTTTTTTTGAAAAATTAAGTACGTATCTTGAAGTTATATGGCGATGAAGGCGTCATTGGATTATCTGCTGTGTATAAAAAAATAACGGGTTAACTGAGACATATTTTCATTTCAGGATGTCGCGTTCATCAATCCAGCCAACGTAGTGTTCGTGTATATGTTAGTGCGAGACCTCGTGGAATCAGATATGGACTGCGAACAGGATCTTCAAGCCGTCGTTCTCACCTGCCTCTACCTGTCGTACTCGTACATGGGCAACGAGATCTCGTACCCACTCAAGCCGTTCTTGGTCGAAGATTCCAAGGAAAAATTCTGGGATAGGTAAAGAAACATAATAATAAGAACTGACTTTATTGGAAAAATAACCAACTCTTCTTCATAAACAAAATGCCCATGGCTATGGCGGAGTCTAGCTTCAAGCTATTCAAATCAACCACCAGAAAAATTACAATTGCTACTACATGTGTTTTTAAGTTTTGTGAACGACGTTGCGTTTTTGAGAAATCAACAAAACTTTATTTTTTTATATGGTCCGAAAAAAGGACACCTCTGATAGCATCTCTTTCAACGAATTCAACGATGTACCACATGCTACATTTGTTTTCTTAGTTATAAAGAAAAGTGTGTTTTTTATTTTATTTAACCTTGCATCTGCCTTTGCGCGACACCTTATTGAAAAAATCTAATATTGACATAGGTTATCAGTTATGACTTATAGATGACATAAGATATTATAAAAGTTGAAAAACAACCGGGGAAAATGACTTTAGAATTAGTTGCTTGCAAGCAACATTGCGAGATAAAGTATAGGTTCTATTGTTACTTGCAAGCAACATTGACCGATAAAGGTAAACCTAATTGCACTGGTTTATATGGAAATACAACTATACATTTCAAATCATTTATTTATAAAACGAATATCAAGAAATTACAATGTGATGAAACAGCTAAATCTAATTGGAATGGAAAAGGTAGAAACAATTCTTATTTGGGGTGAAACAAAGCCTAAGAAAGGCACTTGGTACAAAAGATTGTTGTAAATCCATTACCACAGTGCCTGCATCTACCTTTTGTACCATAAGTTGGCCAATGACCTATGCCATCTTTTTGGGTGGTGATATCAGGTCTCGGCAGTATAGGGTTTGATATTATTTTCGCAGGGGTTTTATTAGGCGAGGAAATGGATGGTCTGCCACGAGAACTTTGTTTTCCTGCGTTGGCCAACGATTTGGTTAATTCCATACGGAACTCCTTTAGCGGTTTTGACGTTACACGTGCTGTGTTGCAGTCCTTTCTATACAGAAGCCAGGCGTTGATCACTAACATATCAAGAACCCATGTGAAAATTGGGAAGTACCATCTTTTCGATCTGCTTGGACTGCGATACAGACCAAGCAATGAATTGGCCTTATCGACACCGCCCATGTGCTTATTGTATTGCGTTATAACGGATGAACAAGGGATGGGATTTTTTTCTTTTCCACTTTCGAATATCTCTTTATCGATTTTACGAGATTTAGGCCACAGAATGTACTTGCTAATAGAACACATTTATTGTCAGCCCATTTTACTACTATTATACCTTTGCCTGTATCTGCTTTATAAACGTAGGAACCTCTTCTCCTTTTTTGAAGCAGTTTATCGGTTTCAAGTTGACATCCAGCTATTCTGTTAGACCTTATAGTTCCTAAACTAAGTATCCCGAATCGGTCTTTAAGATAAATAAATAATTTTACACTTGAAAACCAATTGTCACAGAATATAACAGTGTTTTTCGGTTCACTTAGGGTTTTGCACAGAGAAATGACGGTGCTAGCACCTACACCTAGATTTACTTCATAATCATCTAACTCATCCTCATCCTCTAAGCATTTCAAATGTCGCAGCTCCCTGATAGGGTATGAAGTCGGCAATATAACCTGAAACCCCAGCACGAATAAAAAATTTAAACCCCCATTTGTGAGGTTTATTTTGGATATACTGCGTCAAGTTGCCCGCATATGTGCCTTTGTAAGACACCATTGTTTCATCAATTGAGTATTGATTTTCAAACTGGAGTTTATAACAGTTCTTGCGTACAATTTCTAATAAGTGTCTAATTTTGAAATATCGATCCTTTGTCTGGTCTGTTATGTTAGTATTATCATTGAAATGGATAAACCGTCTTAGTTTCTGAAACCTCTTTAGAGGCATTATATTGGCCACGTGATCTACTCTTGTACTACAGTATATTCAGATTCGCAATTAAATGCCTATGCCGAGCGGCAGAGCAGTCTTATCAAGGCAGAGTCACATTCAGGTTCAGACGTGTTACGTATGTCGTGTGCATCATTGCAATTTGATATTTCTTTGGACGTTTTCGTTTGTTATCTTATTAAATTGTTGAGTTTGTCGTTGTTATTGTTATACCTTGTTATTGATTGTTATTGTTATCAACTGCTTGCGCAAAATGCCCAGTAGTACAGATACTGCCGATGAAGTTGTAAACTCCTGTAGTCCACATAGGAAACGCTCTAAAAAAAGACACCTGAGTGCAGAAATGAAAGAGGTCATTTTGAATATATATAAGATCGAGCGCGAGGAGAACGAGGCATCAACCATCAAAGAAATTGTTGTGAAGGTTTCTCACAAAGTTGGGGTGTGTCGCGCATCAGTGTTTAATGTGTTAAGACAATACAAAAAAATCACACCTTTTCTGAGCCAATGACCAGTAAACATCGCAAAAGTATTGTTAAATCATTGGATGAAGCTGATAAGCATGCGATTAGGAGGAAAGTGCATGAATTCTTCTTTAGGAATGAAATACCTACTATAGATAAAGTACTGCAGGAGGTAAATGGAGATACAACGTTGCCAAATTTCAAACGATCAACTTTCCATGCGTTACTGAAGCATTTAAATTTCAAATGGAAAAAACGGGGTCGTAATAGTTTACTACTGGATAGAGAAGAAATTGTGCTATGGGGGAGGGATTATTTAACAAAAATTGGGAAATATAGAAATCAAAACAGGAAGATTTATTACCTTGATGAAACGTGGGTAAACGCAGGACACACTACAAGTAAAGTATGGGTTGATGATTCTGTAACTTCATCCAGGAGGGCCTTTCTAGATGGACTGTCCATCGGATTAAAAAATCCAGCAGGTAAATACGAGTAATAGACAACAATCGGATGTTTTTCAAACCTTGGGAACAAGGTTCTAAACATTAATTCCAGGGGGCAGATAAAACATATTACAAGTAACAAAACTTTTATAACTTTCGATAAAATGCGTGGATGTTTTATTGTCATTTTCATTTGTTCGAACTTTTTTAAGCCATGTTTTTATGTGTTTTCGATATTTCAATAATTTTTTAATATAATCTTAAAATATGTCGAATATTATAAACTTAAAAAAAGTTACTAAGTTTTATATTGTGTACCGTTCCTAATATTTCTAATCATTTTAATTCATACTTTAAGCTTTATAAAGTTATAATTTGTTAATATTAATATTTGCGCGTATTTCAGGTTCCTGATCATTCATTTTTTAAAGGTTTATAACTTTAAATTAAATTGTGAAGCGCTGAGTAATCATACGACGTTCAATATTCTTTCTTTCAATATGACTAAATAATCCCAATTATAGCAATCTGATACTCATGTCTCAATGTTTTTTCGCTGAATGTGATGAAAAAATTTGAAAAAGGTTCGCTTATTGAAATAAATCTACACCAGTTAGTACTTCGATTTCCAGGTAAAGGGAAAAGGCTCATTATCTGCCATATTGGCAGTGAGGATGGATTTGTTGTTGACGGTCTGTGGTGCTTTGATTCTAAGAAAACTGGAGATTACCACGAGGAAATGAATGGCGAATCGTTTGAACAGTGGTTTTCAAAAATTTTACCGAACTTAGAGGAAAACGCAGTAATTGTGTTGGATAATGCGCCTTATCATTCTCGAAGAATGGAGAAGGTCCCAACAACGGCTTCAAGGAAAGTTGATGTTCAAAATTGGCTCCGCTCGAAAAATATCAACTTTGAAGAAGCAATGCTGAAAGTACAATTATTAAGAATTGTCAAGGATCACAAGGCGGAATATCAAAAATACGCCATTGACGAAATGGCAGCAAGCCAAAATAAAACTGTGCTCCGTTTACCTCCATACCATTGCGAGCTCAATCCCATTGAGCTCATATGGGCAGAGGTTAAAAATTATATAGCTAAGCACAATACAACTTTTAAATTTTGTGACCTCAAAGGACTTCTCAAAGAAGCACTAGAATTAATAACAGCGCAAAAATGGGAAAACTGTATTAAGCACGTGAAAGACAAAGTTGAAAAGAGAATGTGGGAACTGGACAATATTTTAGAGGAACAAGTCGAGCCATTCATTATTGACGTTGGTGCTTCAGGCAGTAGCGATGATGAAAGCTCATCAAGCTCATCTTTCCAATAAAAAATGTCGTTCATCAAATTCGGTAAGTTATAAGTAATTATAAAGCTACTGTATTTTTTAATTAATTATTGACATTTTTGAACCCATTTTGGCAAAACCTATTCAAGAATCTACTTTCTGACAATGTTCAACCATGCACATTTTTTTACGTTTTGAACGTTTTAATTTGGTTACATATTTACCTAGAAATCAAAAAATATACTAATCAATATTCTAAAAGCAATTTTAAGAGATATACGATTAGTTTTAATTTAGGCTAATTTAAACGCCATTTTGAGATTATATTCGACTGTATTTCACCAAACATCAGGCGGCATCCGAAGCTGGAAATCGAAGCGAAAATTTTGAAACCCTTATGTATATTTACATCATTATATATTTCTTATCCCACTCCCACATGATCCTATATCCATCACCAATCGTATACACATCGAATTGTGCTAATTTACTACAAAGTTACGCAAAGCAGCATCTACTATCTAAAATATGTACTGCGTGACTCTTAATACGTCCCTGCCGAATGTTACAGCGTTCGATGATCACGTGGTCTTGTTTATGTCCGGTCTATCTCTTATCTGAATATACTGTAGCTGCCCAAAAATCTTCTATGGCAGGAAGTTTTATTACACCCATAATCAAGAGTATAGATAGAAAATCCGTTATTTCTGACGGATTTGTATCAATACATTGCCCAAGTTGCTGAGGACTATAAAGATTTGTCTGATAGACTATTTTATCCATTAGATCAAATGAAAAAAACTTTGTAAAATACTCAATGGGAACTGCAATGTTGTCAGGTTCAGGAAAGTCTGGTGAAGGTATGTTAGCAGAAACTATGTCAGCTTCAATCCAAGAATATGATTCAGTTTTTCGTCTTTGTGG